TACTAATTTTTTGCTGTGGGGAAACTGGTTTCCCTGTTTTTTCTGTCTTCCCATCATTGTCTTTGGTGTTGTTACTGTCCCTGTACTGTGTGCAATTAAGTATTTTCTAGCTTGTAATAATAACAATGGTAATATTTAGAATGGAAGGGTGAGCTGAGATGGAAAGCAAGAAGTTAAAGAAAGGGGGAAAACAAATACACAGACTGGAGGGAGAAAACAGAACAAGGTATCAGACAAGAAGGTTTCAAAGGTATAAACAGGGAGCTTTAGTGTACTAATTGACAGTAAGCTGAACAGACATTAGAGGGACAGAGATAGGATTGAAAATCAAAAATAAAAAAATAAGATAGAATAAAATAAAAATAAGTAAATGAAAGAATATATATAAAAAAATTTAAAAAAAAAATCAAAAAACCCTCCAAGTTCAAATGCAATGAAGTTTCAGTCTTAATAATTTTGGTGTCCATCTCAGTCTCCAATCCTGGAGATGGTGCCTCAGATGTTGTTCTGTAGTTGTCTCATCAAAGGGGACGCATAAAGTAGAACAAAACTACACACACACACACACACACACACACACACACACACACACACAAACCCCACCAAGTGTCACAAGTTCAAATGCAATACAGTTTCAGTAAGTTTTTCAGCATACAGGTGTAGTTCAGTTGTTTTCTCATCAAGGGTAGGGAGAAAAAGAAAAAAAAGAAAAAAGAGTCTGGAGACAGTTCTGAGAATGGTATCTGCAGCTGTGGCTCACCTGCCCGCTGCTGTCAGCCTGCTGTTGCTGGCGGCTTTATTTATGCAGATCTCTGGGGTGAGCTTAGCTCTCACCTGGCCCTGCAGGCCTTGTTTGCTCAGAGTTCTCCTGTGCGGGAGCCTCTGCTACAAGCTTTCCCCTTTCCAAGCACACTGGGAAAGGTGACACTGCACCTGCGTTGTCAGGCCTGCGTGTTTATTTACAGTTCATGTGGGAAGTGGGTCTTCCCCCCTCTCCTGTGGAGTTTTCCTCCCACCGCCACTTTCACAAGCTTTCCTGCTCCTGATTACTGGGCGGTGGTGCTGCTCCTGCCAGCCGCCATGTTTGTTTACAGTTCAGTGGGAAGTGGGTCTTCCCTCCTGTCCTGTGGAGTTTTCCTCCGCAGCCACTCTCACAGGCTTTCCTGCTCCTGGTTGCTGGGCGTGCATCCCCACTCCCGCCAGAGCCTCTCCGGCCCGCCCGGCTTGTTTATTTACAGTCCCCGGAAGGGTTCCCTTCCCCTAATCTTCGGTGCTCAGTGCGCCCCACCCTCTTTCCCGTGTGTCTTTATTGTTCTTATTGGTTATTAGTCAGTTTCTCTTTTTTTCCCCGGGTGGGGGTCGGTTTGTCCAGGGGGCTATGCTGCTCTGGCCCAGGCTTGTCTGTGGGAGTACCATGGTACCGCGAAGCTCACCTGGTCTTCCCAAGCCGTCTGGGCGCGGGTGACTGGCGGCCCGGGAGCCCTCCTTGTTTCTCCGTTTAACGTGAAGTGGAGATTCTCTGCACCGGCTGGAGGTGTGGAGGGGTCAAAGTTATGCCTCTTCTCAGTGATTATGCCTGCAAAGTGTGTCTCCAGCGTCTCTCCAAGATCCTCAGATTAAAATTTGAAGTGGTGGCTTTGTGTGACCTCTTCTGGATCCAGCTGGTTCAAAAGTATGCAAAACCAAATCTGGGATGCGATGCTGCCTTTCATTTCATTTATGGCACAGAATTAGTTTCTTTGATGGAATAGGTCCATGGAGTTGACTCTGTCCTGGTTCGGGCCCATTCTGACCTGGCCTCGATTGGTGCCACTGGAGGCAGGGATGAGCACCCCGCAGGTCAGGGTGAGTGCAGTGTTGAGGGACTACGGGGCTCTGAGGACCTTGGGGTCAGGGAGGCTTCTTGACCCTGGCCATTACTCCCTGGTATGGGTGGACAAGGCAATCAGGTTACAAATCAGGCTACTAGACAGCGAGAGATGGTCGCGTCCGGCCAGTGTCTGGGTGGCAAGGCTTCTGGTCCACCAGGCAGAAAGGATGGTGCTGGATCAGGACAGCAGCTGGGCCAGCTTTGTTGGGAAACCAGAAGCAATGAAGGATGAAGACGCCTCCAGAAGTCAGAAGAGTCAGGTCCAAGCTGGATGGAGAGGTTGACTGTCTACGAGGGCTCAGTGACAGAGTGGGTCCTGAACAGGGAAGGGCACAGAGATGCCCAGGTTTCTGGGAAACTGGAGACCTGTTGGAAGTGTGTTCTCCATGGCTCGGTTTGCTCCTCCACAAAACCCTGGACCTATTAGAAGACTCAGTTTACCTGCCATATTCATTGCCTCAGGACCAGGTGACATAGAGTGAATTTGTGTCTAATCCAGGGCAAGCACCATGAAGTCTTTTGGTGTACCTTCAGAATCCAAGCACACCTGCTAGTTTGATAAGGAAGTGCTTATAGTTACTTCCTGTCAGAGGGACATTGATATTCCAGAGACCTGGGCCATGCTCATCCCAAGCCCCTGGAGTTGCCAGGTGTGGTGGTACGCAGCTGTAATTCCAGCTATACAGGAAGCTGAGACAGGAGGATTGAGATGAGAGTTCAAGGCCAGCCTGGGCAACACAGTGAGACCTCATCTCAAAAATAAATGAAAGTACAGATTCTTAAGACCTAGAGCCACCCAAAAGTTTGCTGGTGCTCTAGCCCTTACCTTGCATCAATTAGGGACTTTCTTTTTTGTCGTGACCATAGATGTTTGAGGTTGCAAAATGATAATGTGGCAAACGGAACTACTTGCTTTTCCCCAGCACAAAGCCCGCCCTGAAGTTCCTATAGAAGATCTTCTATTTGCTATAATATTTGGGTGACACAGAGTGTCTACTCCAAGACAGACCAGAAACGGAGGACCTTCAGAAGCCTTGGGTTTATAGGACGGGGAGCAGGGTGAAACCAAATGCACGGATTTCTGCTGATGACACAACTACTGAACACACGTCTCGGCTGACTGCGCGGAGGGCGATTGGGGTCTGGGTGGCTTTTGTTCTGTGGGATGGTTTGTGAAGAGGGTTGGCCATGCACCAGGCAGCGAGGCAGCCGGCTGGGTGGAAGTGACAAGATGTCCTCGAAATGCACTGGAGCCTCTCAGGGGCCTGGGCGAGTGACTCGCAGCTCTCTTGGAGCCGGTTCTCTCAGCAGTGCTGATATCAGGTATGAGGCTGAAGGTGGGAGGTAGGCTGAGACCACCTAAATTTTCTTAGATACTGCTGATTACACTTTGGGAGTCACTGACTGCTATGATCTTAACTGTTCACTGAAAAAATTTTATTTCTGGATTTTTTTGTGGGGACAGGGCCTTGCACTTGATTGCTTTACTATTTCAGCCATAGCCGCATTCCTCCCCCTCTTTTTTTCCTTTTAGTTTGTTTTCTTTAGATAAGGTCTTGTGATTTTTACCTGAGTAGCCCTCAGACTGCAATCCTCCTACTTCCACTTCCTGTGAAACTGGGATTACAGGCCTGAACCACCATACCCAGCCCCTCTGCACTTATTTTTGAAATGAGAAGGAACTTAAATCTTTAAGATGAACAAGAAAACCCATCATGGTGACTCAGGCCTATAATCCCAGCACTCAGGAGGTTAAGACAGGAGGATAACAAGTTCTAGGTCAGTCTGATTATGTAGTAAACTACTGTCTCAAAAAGAAAAGAAAAGACAAGTGTACATCTTAGAAGTGTATGTGTGCTTAGATATTGCCAGCTGTCAGAAGCCTCCAGTCCTCACCTATTAAAATTGTCCCTGTGCTGTGGTCTCTGTCTGGACTGGATCCTGCACTCTGAGAGGCACACAGGGGGCGGCAGTCTAACACATCTTCTTGGACCATGTGTTCTCGGGCATCATCAGAGGTCACTGAGGACGAGAGGCCTGTGGGGGGCCTGCGACTCCAGCGGGTGTTTTGTGCCCACTGACCAGTGCCACCGCTCCCTGACAAATTCCTGTGTCAGTAGTTGTGCCTTGCAGCTGCCACACCGTATGTTCCAGGAAGTGTAGCCTTGGGCGCCTCAGCCACACAGCAGTGCTGTTGAGTGTTCACATCGAGCAGCCGCACAGAGTCAGCCTCAGGAACCCTGATGAGCCTGTGCCTCGGGAGCCTCTCTCCCCATGCAGGGCTGAGAACCAGGACCCGGTTGTGACTCAGTCAGATCAGGTCAGGTGGAGGGCAGCCAGCCGCAATGCTGGTCTGAGCAGGGGCAGCTCAGTCCCTCATCGCTTCTGCCCGTGCACTCTGAGCCCACACTGTGGTCACCCCACTTGACGGATGGTGGGAGGCCCCCAACTACTGGCAGGTGTGTGTGCACACGGTGACGGCAGGTCAGGGGTGTGCAGCCAGGCCCCATGTGTGGCAGCAGGCAGCTTCTGCTCCCGGGGAGTCAGAGATCAGCTGCATTTCCTCAAAATATAATGCTATAAAATTCATGTCTTGTGAAAACTTCTTTTGAGACAGGATCTTGCTCTGTAATGCAGGTTGGCCTCAAACTCACCATCCTCTTGCTTCAGACCCCTGAGTGCTGGGATTATAGGCATGTGCCTCCATGAAAACTTGTTTATAGAGTATTTTTCCTCTGACCTTCACAGTTGACCTTGCCTGTCATATACTTTCCCAAGGCAATGCCCTATAAACTCCCCTGAGGTCTGGGCTGTGAGGTGCCACTGCCCAGCTACATAGAGGCGGGAAGGGGCCATCCTCTAGGGAGGAAGGTGGCTGCTGCACTGCAGACGTTTCTCAGGATTGTCCAAAAGGGGTTCAGGGTGGCCTCTGGTGCACGCAGCAGTGTGTCACACCTCCTCTGAAAGGAGCTTCTTGACACTATCGCAAGTTCGTTCTCAGTATCTTCTATATGCATTTCATAGGTGAATACTTACTCAGGGCCATGGGAGGAAAGGCGTAGGGAACCACTCACTCAACAGAAGCCACAATAACTTTACAGACACTGAGGACTTTTCTTTCCCCTTGCAGGGTCAACAGATTGTGTGTGTTACTCAACTGTGGGCACAAACGATGCTGAGACGTCAGCTTTGCACATCATTGTTGGTGAGTCGAGTCTCACATGGAAGATTGCCCTGTGCACAGACCTCAGGCCCAGTCTGTTTCACAGTGGCCCTGCTTCCTTCCACCCTCCAGCAGCTTGCCCGGCTCACAGGACTCCCGTACCTTTCCTTTCCTGTGCTCCCCTTGCCCACCTTCCTGGTCCTGTCTTCCCAGGTCAGTCCAAGGGGTGGCAGGCCCCGTGATAGGCCAGCCTCCTGTGTCATGGGTGTTCCTGCTGTGGTTCATGTCTTCTTTTCCTGGAACCTGTTCCATGCTCTTTCAGAAGCTGTTACTCTGGCTCCACCAGCCTTCAGGACAGCCCCAAAGGCACACCATCCCCCTGGGCCCCACTGTTGTCCCTGCAGGCTCCATTCTGCTGTGACACCCCTACTCCCTTCATGCATACTCTGGGACTCCCCTGGAGACCAGCTCTCGCTGGGGGCAGGAATGCTTGTGGCCATGGTCTTGTGTACAAGAATGCACCTAGGCTAACTCCTGCTGCTTTCCTCTTTGTGAAGCACCTGCCAGGCTCGGGGTGGTGACAGACATGCCCATCCCCTAGTGGGGAGATGGAGAGGGGCCGTGGAAGTTCTGCAAACTCCCTAGGACACCTATCTGACAAATGCCTAGTACCCTTTCCCATTCCTTGACCCTGTTTACTGTAAGCCATGTCTTTCCTGAGGTCACAGAAATGTTAGGCTTGAGTTATCCACTTAGGATTTTATGTTTTAATTTTAATTTATTTTTGGTGGTTCTGGGGTTTGAACTCAAGGCCTTGTGCTTCTAGGCAGGCTCTTTACCACTTGAACCACACCTCCAGCTTGTTTTGCTTTAGTTATTTTTCTAGTAAGGTCTTGCATTTTTTTCCGAGGCTGGCCTGGACTTTGATCCTCCTATTACACCTTCCCAGTAGCTGGGATGACAGGTGTGCACCAGCACGGCCACCTTGTTTTGTTTGATACAAGGACTCACTGTGCAGCCCAGGCTGGCCTCGAATTCTCATCCCTCCTGCCTCAGCTTCCAAAGTGCTTGGCATACAAGTGCACACACCATACTTAGTGAACTTTGCGTTCTTGAATGCTACATGCCTTTGTTCATCCTCAAACCCACCTTCTTTTCAGCTGGTGACAGTGGCAAGCCTCATGGGCACGTTCTCATCCTGTCCCCACAGAACAGCTTCCCAAGCCTGTTTTGGAGATTTGAGCCACTGGAATCATTGCACTGGAAGATTCCAACAGACCTGTTTCTCCGCTGTCTGCGCGGGGTGCCGTTTAGGGGCAGAGGAGCGCAGGGTAGGCAGGGCTCCCTCACAGTGCCTCTTTCCCGCAGGGGACTCCCTGGCCATGGACGTGACCTCTGTGCATCACAACAGCACTCTGCTGCGGTACTCAGTGTCACTGCTGGGCTATGGCTTCTATGGGGACTTGATCAAGGACAGTGAAAAGAAGCGGTGGATGGGGCTCGTCAGATACGACTTTTCAGGTAACTCAGGTCAGGCGCCGTGGCAGATGCGCTGTGAGCACAGTCCGGGCATGCTGCCGTTACAGACGTTGTCCACAAAGCACCCACTAAAGGTAGGCGCCCCCAGGTACAGACAGGACACTAAGGGCCTGGCTCTTTTACAGTGGGTGAGTGGGGAGCCTGGCCTTGGACCTGGATTGTTGTGGCCCACCTGGACGCAACACAGGTAACTTGGTGGACTTCTGAGAGAGCTGCAGGACCTGTCAGAATCACAGACTGCGGACCTGACAATCAGGAAACCGTTTTCTGTCGCATAGATGGTACCGGCCTTCTTGGACAGTTGAAGTGAAAGTTTTGATAGGAAAAATTTAGTTTTAAGATCACTCGAAGCATAGCACGGTGACAAGAACGTTCACCGTGAAGAAATTCAGCCCTGGACGTCTGTGCTAGAGCTGGTCCTTCAGGCACATACAGCCTTCATTTCCTTCAGCAAGCATGTCCTGTCTTGAGTTCTACGTAGGCACCATCAGTCAGTCAGCACCTCCCTGTGAGGCACCTCCCCTGGCCAGGCCTTGCTCTCAGTGCCTCTGCGAGGCTGGGCTCCTGGAGCAGGGTGAGGTGAGTGTTGACAGTCACCATATTGTGCTCCTTAAAGGCCGCAGGATTTAATTCTCCCTGACACTATATTTTACAGCAGGGCCTCTGTCCCCACTTCATAGCTGAGAAAATGGGCACAAAGCCCATAAACAACTTGCCCCAGTCTGACTGCACCCTTCCTGCAGTCAGTGGCTTAGACTGTGGGCCTCAGTGTCCCTGGGCAGTCAGACCTCGGAGCCACCCCAACGTGCCCAGCAGGCTCCCTGGGGTATAGCTCAAGCCCCTGGTGACAGGTACATTCCATCCTATCCAACCACAGAACTAGAAAGAACAAGACCCTGAAGGCCATACCCAAATGTTGCACTCTGCAGGTGTTGGGGAGTGGTGGGTGCAGTACCCTTGTCAGCTTTTAAATGCAGAAAGAGAGGAACTTCGAAGAGGTGCAGAGTTTCAGCCTGATGTTCCTTCATAGTTAATGAATTTCACTTGTCTGCCCTCGATAGTTTGCCTTTGGGGAAACCTGAACTAGGAAATTCCAAATGCTAGGATCTCAGCCTTTTCTTGTGAGAGGAAAGAACAGCAACTTGGTAACTTTACACAGCTCAAAGATGGTAACTTGCCTTGAAAATGAAAAACAGGAAATGCCGTACACACTACTCAGGCTCTCATCAGGAGAAGCAAGCATCAGGAACGCCACAAGCCACGCAGGGAGCCAGGTCACCATCTTCCTGACCCTCCTTGCTGAGTCAGCTGTGGCTCTGCCAAACAGGCCTCCCAGAAGCCCCTCCTGTTCACAACCTTTGGCCTGCACCTTCCTTCCCAGTCCCTTAACAGGGTGCCTGAGAGTGGCCACCACCCTGGCCACCTGGGAACACCAGCACTATGGATAGCACACTACAGTTTGCCCTTTGGGAGGCAGTGCTGCCCTGACCTTTCTCCTAAGTGCTGTCAGGAAGCCATGGTTGTTGGGGGTGACCTGGTGGGGGCCAAGCATGCAGGAAGTGGTACATTGCCAATCATGTTGAAGGGGGGCAATGCACAGGCCACACCACAGAGGCCATGCGGTGTCACTGATACAAAGGAGCCTACTTTGCCAGTGTTGAACACAGCTCTGGTGGGTGACCAGAGCCCTGCCCACTCCTGTCACTGTTAGGTCTCAGAAGGTGCTAGTGCTGCGTGTGACCAGTGGGGAGGGCAGAGACCTTCATTTTACCCTGGTGGCAGTAATGATTTGCCTGGAGGGGCCCTCTGGAGAAAGTGTCTGCAGCTTGCAGCGGCCTTGGCAACAGGCGGTGACCGTGTGGGTGTTCTCTCTTGGCTGGCTCTGTCCCCAGGTATAAAGACCTTTCTCTCACATCACTGCTATGAAGGAACTGTGTCTTTCCTCCCAGCACAGCACACAGTGGGATCTCCACGGGATACAAAACCCTGCCGGGCAGGGTAAGTGCACTTCCACCTGCGTTTCTATTGCAAATGATGTGAAACGAAGCAGGACCGTTGGGGGTCTTTGTCCCTGTCACGACTGTGGATGCAGGAGTGTTTTTGCAAATGTGGGTGGAAGACCCTGAATTTCATACGCCTGTGGAGGGTCTTAGGATTCACGGGCACTAGGCTGTGTCCCTAGGCCTGGCCTGGTGAGGGAGGGACCCAGTGCTAGGCTAGGTCCCATGTCTGCCCTATAGTGAGGCTTACATCCATGTGGTCTGCTTCTTTTGGGGATTCTCTCTTCCACTTCTGGGGGTCTGATGCAAGAAAGGATAACAGACAGCCACTTAATCAACAGCTGTGTGTGTGTGGCCCACAGGGTGAGGCAGAACCACTGGTATAGCTGGGCTGATGGAGCTATACCATCTCAGTGCAGATGGAAGGGACCCCTGCACGTACCCCCAGCAGAGACCCTTGCCCATTAGCCTCTGCTCCAAGGTAGGAGCGCACCTGCTGTTAGGAGGGCCCTGGCCAGGCACCCCCAGCCCCTCAGAAAGGCAGGGACAGCCAGAAGGAGAGTACAGATTGTCCCCAAGTGCTGGGGTGGCGCATACAGGGCCAGGGCTGCCCTGGGAGGGGGTGCAGGGGGGAGAAGGCACATCCTGGCGAGGGGAGCATGCAAGTGGAGGGCAGCTGGAGAAGCCCGGGCCCCACCCCAAGCCTGGTGCATGAACGTGACCCTTGGCAAGGGGCTCACAGCCCTGGCACGCCAGTGAATAAGCAGCATTTCCTTTTGACCTGATGTACAGCCCTAACCACAAAATATATCCTGTAATGTCTAACCAGATTAAAATACAACCCTCAGTAATCGTTAAGCTAGTCTCAGGCCATATGGCCATGCCAGTAACAGTGATCTGTACCCCAAGCCATCCAAAGATGGGTGTGGCACTCTGAAGGACACACACACTGTCCTTTCCTTCCTGAGGACTGCTCCAGGTCCTCTCCTCTGGGTGAAGGATTTGAGACCAGGAAATCAGAACATTCAGCGCATCACTGTACTCAATTGTAGATGCGCTGGGTGTGCGGTTGACACTACAGTACCCCGTCCAAAGCTGTGCTCAGTGAGTGACAGAGCCTGCACTAGGCCCTCTGAGCTACTTACTTGATCATGTTGACTGGGGCGAGTGACCGTCACCTTACTTGTTTTCTGAGCGGCCTCCCCTGGCGGAGGCTCACCGTAGCCCGAGCTGAGCCGCAGGGTCTGTCCTCAGACTGTGCTGCTTGTAACAGTGGCAGGCCTTAGAGAAGGGCCTAAGGGATACGTTAACAGGTGAGAACTTAGACGTACACCCGATTTTGAGAATTCAAATTAGTATGCTAAAGATCTATTTCTAGTTAAGCTTTTGGAACTTACTTTTTTTATTAGATGGAACGAATTTTAGTACTCTTGAATGTGCTAAGCCCAGAGGTTTCATTTTTAAATCCTCGCATTGCATTAGAGAACACACCATCGTGGTCTTGTCTTCCAGGTGCTTTGTGTGCAGGCAAAGCAAGCAGCAGCTGGAGGAGGAGCAGAAGAAGGCCTTGTATGGCTTAGAAAACGCGGGTAATTCCTGGATGGTTTCTCTGTGTGCTAGAATCCTAACATCTAATCTTTCAGTGCATTGCTTCTTCTCCTTCTCCATCTCTCCTTTTCCTCTTCTCTGTTTTTCTATGCACCCATTTCTCAATAGCTCTGGGCAGCAACAAAGCATTGCCACTTACCAGACTTTGGGGCATGCACATCTTTGCAGGAAGCCTCATGCATCTGTCCTCTGATTGCTGTCGTGAGGCCCACCAGGGCTCCCGTTCAGCCTGCCCTAGAACATGGCGTCAGCAGATGTTGTGTTTAGGCTTGACCAGATGAATTCAGTTAACCCTGCCCCACATACAGTGTGGAGATAAGAGGTGGCTGCTGCCTACAAAATGTTATTTATGGACACTGAGATTTGAGTTTGATGTATTTTTCACATGTCACAAAATATTGTTATTCTTTTGATGTTTTTCGACTTAAAAATATGAAACTCATTTTTAGCCGTAGGCCATACAGAGACATTCTGCCTGTGGTTGTGGTTGGCTGCCCCTTGTTCTAAATCATTGTCCAGAAGGTACCTGCGAGGAGCAGTGCACGCAGGTGTGCCTTTTGGGAAGTGACCCTTGGGTCCCGTGTGTGGTGTACCTTCCTGAGGCAAGCCAGCAGTGCACTGATGGGTGTGTCTGTGACAATAACTGCGACTGCATGAGGACTCTGTCCTAGACAGAGGCCAGAAAGAAAGCCAATGCAGAGGGAGGGAGTGTAGCTATCCACCCCATCCCTGCAGGGTGCCTTCCCATGCTCTGGGATGGATGGTGACATCTGCCTGACTCTTTCTGCTTCAGAGGAAGTGGAGGAGTGGCAAGTTATCTGTGGGAAGTTTCTGGCCATCAATGTCACGAACATGTCCTGTGCTTGTCCCCGGAGCCCCAGGGGCCTCTCCCCGGCCGCCCACCTGGGAGATGGGTCTGCTGACCTCATCCTCATCCGGAAGTGCTCCAGGTTCAATTTCCTGCGGTTCCTTGTCAGGCACACCAACCAGTGTGACCAGGTGAGTGGGACACTCTTTGGCATGTGGCCCATTGGTGAGGCATTTACGTTTGGGAATCCCTGATTTAGGCATTTCAAGATCCCATCATTTCATTCAAAGGAGTGCATTTCACCTATTTGAGACTTAGTCATGACTGCTCCTTGAAAAATTGCATTAAAAATACAAATCTAAGCTGCCTCTTGAGTGGCAGAGGCAGGAGGATTTCAAGTTCGAGGCCAGCCTGGGTTACATTACTCAAAATCACTAAATCAGTCAATCTTTGAACACAGAAAGTAAGTCATGAATGTTTCTATATAACTTACTGTCTTCTGCTGCTTGTCCTGCTTAATAACAGGAAAAGTGACAAGGTGTAGATTTTGTCACCCTTGTAGGTCACTTCAGATTATCTGTGGGGTCCGTTCAGAGCCTCTTCCAAACCCTCCTGTCATCACTGGTGTCCCTTTCTAGTTACTCTTGGAGGACCTGAGCCCAGTCCTATCCTAAGGGCTGGAAATTCTGCTCATAGACTCTAATCTTAGTAAAATTTTTGTTTTTCTACTTAAGTTATGTTTAAGATCTAGTCCAGTGATATTTTTGATAGGGGTTTTTAAACAGGGTTTGTTAAAAAGAGAACAGAAAATTGTACAAACCACTTCTCATTCCTAGCAGGACTCTTTTTAAAAGGTGCTTGCCACTGCAGAAGCTGTGACTTCAACAGTGAGCCGTCCTCTGAAGCACCTGGGCAGGCAGTGGTATCTCCATCTCGGGTGTCTAAGTCACCAGGTGCTCCGAGGCACTGCCCGATGGCTGTGTGTTCCCAGGGGCACGAGGCCTGGCTGGCCAAGTGAGGGGAGGTGGGAGGCCTGGCTGCCCTCTACCCCCGTGACGTGAGGAATTCAGTTTCCCCTCACTGGCTTTCTTGGCAGTTCGACTTCACTTTTGTTGAAGTTTATCGAATCAAGAAATTCCAGTTTACCTCAAAGCACATGGACGACGAGGACAGTGACCTCAAGGAGCAGGGGAAGCAGCGGTTCGGGCAGATCTGCAGCGATAGTCCCACGTGCTGCTGCTCAGCCTCCAGAGGCTCCTGGAACTGTGATGGAGAGCTTCTGCGTAGCCCTGCCATCGAGGTCAGGCAAGTGCAGGGACCCAGTTGCCTCCCCTGGCGTCTGTCACCAGCACTGTCCCACTCAAAGCATTGCTGAGGTCAGAGGTGATGCCGTGAATAGCAGCGTAAACATATTTTCCTTTCTATGTGTCGGATGTCAACAGGGATTGCCACTGTCTGGGGCTTGGGCAGGGCAGGCATTGAGCCAGGAGATGCTGTGTTTTACAGACACTGTCACAGGGTTTGAAAGCCCCTCCGTTGTGGTCTCGTTCTCAGCCACACTCTGCACCCAGCACTGTACTTGGTCTCTGCTCTGGCATTCCCTCTCTCTTCCTACTCCTTCTCTCTCCTGCTAAATAAGAACTCTGCAACAAACAAAAGAGACCACTTCCATGGCACTTCCTAAGGCCTGGGTCCCCTGAATCCAAGTGTGGGTGCTCAGTCCAGCAAGGGACTGCACTGGACAGGAAGCGAGGGTTGGGAACAGCAGGGAAGAGGAGAAGCAAAGTGTTTGGTGACCACACAGCCTGGGAGCTTTGGGAAGGATACGTATGGGAGACGATGGAGCCTTGGTACTGACCAGGTGGGCCAGCCAGCTCCGGAGGGCCTTGTCCACTTCGCCACCCTTGTACGGAGGGGAGCAGTTCAGAGTTGCTCTTTGCCAAGCTCACAGGGTTGATGCTGAGCCTCAGAGCTCGAGCCTCCCCTGGGACAAGCTGACCAGGCTGTAGTGACCAGTGCCCAGGCTAGCATATAGCCTGGGGACGGTGGTTTGTGTGCTCTGGCGGCCCATCGAGTGCGGGAAGTCTGTCTTCCCCATGCCAATATTTGATATTGGAAATGTGTAATTTTATTAAACATATTGAATAAGAATATGGAAATGAGTACAAGGAAAACTCTTTGCCCATGAAAAGAGAGCAGAGCAAGTTTTGTTTTGAAAAAAAAGATCATTAGGTATGAGTATACAAACTCCGTGAGACTGGAGGAGGGTGGAAGGTTCAGGAAGGTTCTGTCCTGTGTGCAGAGGTGTCTAAGATCTTGTTCTACTTCGGGAACCAAAAGGAGACCCTCGCTGGTAACAGAGTGTGTGGCACCGAGAAGGGAGGAAGCTGGGATGGACGAGCTCTCGGTATTGGAGACGGTGGGCGTCTCCAACTTAAGTGTTGCTCCCCACTTAAGTTACCCTTCCACCACCAGCAGGGCCCAGTGCAGCTTTAAGACTGAAGGCCTTTACCTTCCAAACAAAGCAAACTGAGCGACGTCTCTGTCTCCGAGTCCCCGCTCCAAGCACTTCCGTTTCGTTGGGTCCATGCGGTAGGGCTCACCCAGTGCCCACCTAAGAGCGAGAGGCAGCAAAGACCCCAGGAAACCCACCAAGCCGGCCATCTGTACACACAGGGCTTTGGCTTCTGTTAACTCATTTTATAGGTTAGGAAAATGAAATTAATATTGGCTTGTATATTAATTAAATAGAATGCTTCCAAAGTTTGAAAGACATTCTTGATATGTATCTCATCTGTCCTGACAAATATTACTATGTCTTGATAGCAATGCCACTTAATTATGGGGTTTTGGTTACTAAATACACCTGAGGAACTTGTGCTGTCATTAATAAATGAAACCAGCGCTAGAGGCATGACTCAAGGGGTAGAGCACCAGCCTAGCAAGTGCAAAGCCCTGAGTTCAAACCCTAGTACCACCAAAAACTAAAGAAAAAAAAAAAAGAAAAAACAAACAGAACTGTTCTGCGTGGGAAGGTGGCACAATTGGCTGGGCCCTAAGGCCACCAAGCCCCTGGCTGGAGTCTCCCACGGCCCCCGGCCTGCTCATCTCCCCAGGATTCATCTTCCCTGGCTGGTCACACCTTGCACATCACTTACACACCTGGAGGGGCCCTGCACTGACCCCCGCCTGCCCAGCAGAACCCGTGAGCTCAGTGCTGGGGAGGAATCGAGGTAATTGGAGTAGATAAGCACTTTCTAGGGCTGGGTGTCGCCACTGGAGGTGGGTCTCCTGTGCCTCGGGTCTTCCTTGGCCACCAGCATCTATTCAGAGGGCCTGTCTGAGTGGAAGGAATCACTGCACAGCATGACCTGCAGTTGCAGGGTGGGACCTTATAGTCCATGATGACATCTGGCTGTCCCATGGAGAAGACCCCCCACCTCTGTCCTGTCCTGGTGTAGGGCTGGAGGTGAGCTTGAGCAATGACACACATGGAGGCCTTTTTTTTTTTTTTGGTGTGGTACTTAGTTTTGAACTCAGGGCCTCATGCTTGCTAGGCAGGCCTCTACCACTTGAGCCACACACCCAGTCCTTTTTGCTTTAGTTATGTTTCAAATAGGGTCTTATACCTTTTGTCTTGGACCATAGCCCTCCCACCTCTGCCTCCAGTGTAGCTGGGATGACAGGCATCCACTAGCACTCCCAACTTATTCTTTAAGATGAGGTCTTACTAACAACTTTTTGCCTGGGCTGGCCTTGAATTATGACTCCCCAGTCTCTACCTCTCAAGTAGCTTGAATTACAGACATGAGCCATCATGCATCCCAGCCATGCATGGAGTTTAAATGTGGCCGTTTGTCTCTGCAGGGTCCACTGCCAGCTGGTTCGCCTCTTCGCCCGAGGAATTGAAGAGAATCCTAAGCAAGAGTCTCATAGCTGAAAAGCCATTACACGTTGTCCACCGCTTGGGAAGTGTGAAAATTATTTTAAGAAAGTTAACACAGACCAATTATGTTGATATATATATTTAAATTTAGAAATTTATTTTTGATAGTTAAATCTTGATTTTAGAAAAAATACCTTTTGTCAGCAATCTTGAGTACATATCTGGCTTTCTGATTGTGGATCTGAGTTGCATTTCACATCACTCACTCTCAGCAATGGCACTTGCTGATGTGGGGCTGTTGGCTTCTTAGAGTTTATTGATGTCAGAGCACAGACTTCAGGATAGCCCGTTAGTGGCTCTACTGCAATAATTTTAGGGACATTACTATAGAGTACTTTCCAGGAGTTAGGTTACACCGTCTGGACACAAGGTAACTGCTAGGCCACTCCAATCTGCCTTGCAGGACTTTCTGGATTGCTTGTGACCAGGTTTTGGAAAGCAGGTGATTCTCTCTACCTTCATTTTGTGCCCATCTTTACTTACGATTAGGATGTGTCTGTGGGATCCTTGCTGTAGGGGGCAGCTAGAGCACAATGCGACCCTGCTCACAGCGGCACCTCCAGAGCGAGCCCACGTCACTGCATGAGAAGGCACCGAGGACAGCGTCTGATCTCGGAACCCCCACGCTGGCTTCCATGTCCGAGGTGTCCTGAGACAAAACCACGGGAGCAGCCACTGCAATGTTGTTCTGTCAGCGCAGGTGGTGTGCACGCTCTGGAAATGGCAGTGTGAAGGACTGCAAGATCCGGGTGCTGCATGGGGACACACATGTCCACCCAGCCAGGCGCCAGAGGGAGCAGGAAGCGGCTGGCGCCCGCAGGAGGAGGAGCACTCTGACTTTGCTGCCGACCGAGTCTTCTCGTGGCCCAGATTTCGTTCTGGGGTCTGTGTATTTATTGAAGTCTTTGTCCTTGTCAATCAGAAGACTGTAAATGGCGTCTCAGCTGTTTGTTTTGTCTCTACCAGGGCCGATAGTTGCTTCCTGCTAAAGGCTAGGGACCAGGGCTTCCATGTGTGCACTCCTGCGACCCTCCCATCCGGTCCAATCGGGGATTCAGCTGTGTGCTGCATGCTCCTTTTGTTTCCAGACTCGTGTGTGTGACAAGATGTATGTGAAATAGTTGTATGTGGCGTTCAAGAGTATGCAGCTCACACTCAATATGTAACTGACTTAAAGAGCAGGGTTTTCTGTCCTGCACTGAGGGAGTGGATCCATTTGTCACCATCGTATTTAACAGGGAACATCTATTCCAGGATTCCTTGCATTGATCTGTATTGGAAACATACATGAAATGCCACATTTTGTCATTCAGTCCCCTCCAGACCAAAGGGTCTCTTTAGAGGTGGCTTTGTAATGGGCCGTGCTGTCAAAGGTGGTTGTGCGAGTGAAGTGATTTAATAACGGATGGGTGAGTGAGAAACCAGGCTACAGGTTGTGAACACCCTGTGGTTTCTCTTCATGTCTGTGCCTGGTTGGAAAGAGACCAAAGCTTTGACTGGCAGCTCTTTGACGGGGTGGTGACTGGCTGCCCTGAAACACCCTCAGAGCACAGGCGCTCTCCGGAGAGCCCACCTGTGCTGACCGCCTCACTGCTGCTCCCTCGGTCATTCCAGAGATGGAGGAGGCTGAGGCCCTGCAGGTGCCCCGGGCCACAAGGTTCCCCCAAGGATTCAAGTCTTCATTGGCCTGCTAAGTGCTCCTCACAACCGGGTCTACGCGGAGTCCCTGGCTGACCTTGGTAAAAAGATGTAGGCAGAAGAGACTTTGCTGGTCCTTAGCAGCCCCGGCCAACACTGAAAATGCAAAGCTTGGAGCTTTTCATGGGCTGCTGCGAGTGTCTGACACCCTGAAAGCCCATCAACACCTGTGCACAGGACGGAGGCAGCCTCTGACATTCTCCCTCAACAGTGTCTGATTTCTGTGACACCTCTCAGACACCGCAACTCCAGCCCCATGCCGAGGGGTTCTAAGAGAAAAACCAGGAGTGATGGTTAGCTAGCGAACACGAGGGTCCTTTAGAAGGCTTAGTTTACACTTTAACTTCCACTGTGGCTCACTGGTGTAAAGTGACCTGTCAGCAGCCACACATGGTGACTTAGTCTTGTTTATTGGAATGAAGAAGTGGGAACGGCAGCTGCCCGCTTCCTTCCTCAGTGCAATCTTCTACAGCCGGGAAATACTGATGCAGAGGACGGCTTAATTTTCTTCTCATCTTGCTGGTTTCAAGACTAGAAAATGGGCCTATTTGATTGAATGTGTTTGAGAAGACAAAAATAAAGTTACTTTGGGCAGAATTGGGCAATTTTTCTTTTGTTTGCAAATTCCTCTTGTTCTTAAAGCTGAGCATTTTTCATGAAAACACACAGATAGCTTAAAGAACAGGACTAGAATGGTGAAAGATATAGCTACACCTGTGCCGAGAAACTGACTGGCACCCACCCCAACACCTTCCACGTGTTCCCTTGGCCGAGTCTCCCCGCCTCCCCCTCACAGGTCACTACCATTTTAAAACTTGAAGCATTACTTCCTGCTTTCTTCAGGTTAAATTTTTGAATAGCACATTGTTTGGCTTGTAGGTTTTGCTCTTTGTCCGAAGGAGCAGTACCGTGTGATGTTCGGTAACTTGCTGCTTTTGCTGGAGTGGCACAACTGTGCCTGCTGAAAGCAAGAACTCAGAAGCCTCCCGGGAAAGGGGAGGTGGGTGAGGAGGAAGCTGGGACAGTCATAGCAGGGTGTGCTCTCAGGAGGGCCAAGGGTACCTATTTGCCAGGTTCCCAGGGAACTTTGTCCCTTCTCTGCTCTCCCAGCACCTAGGTGGAGGAAGAGAAGGAATAGGAGTGGATGGACGGAGGGATAGGTGGGTGGATGGGTGAATGAAAGGACGGATGGATGAAATATGCAAATGTTCAATCTTACTTGGTCACACGCTCAAGGTGAGGTGACTATTGGCTCCAGCCAGGCAACCTCACTTTCATGTGGCCTCATGGTGGGGCAGAGGAACGGGGGACCAGGCAGTATCAGTGTGCCCCTCACAGGTCTACATTTGACTCCGGGTTAAAAGTCAGATGGGTTCTTCTGTCCCTCTGTGTCCAGTGTCCATGTCTAGATCAACCAAACCACAAGTGTTGCTGGGGACCCTCCTGCCCAGGATTCCCAGGCAGGCAGGACACCACAACTAGGTGGGGCCAAGACCTGCCCCACAACCCGAAGGCACTGCCTGGTTTCCAGATCCTGCATCTCCACCCAGTGCCAGCCTTGGGTGGTCCTCCTGCTAGCCGCCCCATTTACTGGCTGGCCTCCATTTGCTGGGACCCAGGGCCTGCCTTCTGCTCCCAGCCTCCCAACACCCATGGCCCAGAAGGCCTCTTTCTTGGCTTAGATAAGTGCCACTGCCCAGGCCCCCACATAAATCCCCAAACCTTCATTCACTAAGGTGGCGTTGGTGCACAAACCCCTGCTACACTGTAGCACCCCAAGAATTGGGGGGCAGGGCCTTAGGGAGGCCACCCAGCCATTCCAGCCACCCACATCCAGACATTCTGCCAAGAACGTGGTAGGCTCTGAGCCTTAGCACAAAGCATTTTAGGTTTATTTAAATAAAATTATAATTTATACAAGACTTTATTTAAACAAGGTTTTCTTAAAAAAAATGTGACAGAGGATTTCTTCATCAGTTCGTCATAGAATACAATCCTTTTACACCGGTAATGATTATGTACAGATCAAAATAGACTCAAACTTTGCACATACAAAATTTAACCTTCAATCTAGCTTAGTGGTTTAGTCATAGAAATTAAATATCTGCCCAGATTTACACCATCCAATAAAAGCCATGGTCTCTCTAACAAGGAGCCAGGAACCTGTGCAGGCACCTGGCCCAGCCCCACACAAGGACCTGCTACGGGCCAGCTGCGTAACTTGGAGCCAACCCTTACCTCCCTGACATGCCTCTGTTCGCCCCATAGGGAGCCAGGTGGCCACACTTGGCATGTGGTCAGTCTTCATCTCCCTTTCTCTGTAAACTGTAAAAGGGACTCGAACTAAACCACTTACTCTGCTGCTGAAGCCCCATTCTGCTCAGGCTCCCCCACGGTGCTGGGGACGGCGTCCCGTGTGCCTATAAGGAGGCACTACCAGGGCCCTGGCAAAGGTTGGACCACTGCCTGTGGGCATCACCCCACAGTTGTCTCCGGGGATAGGTTGGGACAAACCTGCCTCCCCTTGGGCACCTTGGGGTTCCACTGGGTCCCCCTGCTCTGCTGTGTGCATTTGAGGACACGGGTCTACTGCAGGGACCAAAGGTTTGGCCTTCATGTACAAGAGGCTGGAGTGCAGAGTCATCCAGGGGTGACATGCACGTAGCAGGGAGCCGCGTGGCCGTCTCTGTTTGGAGTGGGATGTGTGCTTGATCGGGCTGGTTGGCGTGCCCTGCTCCTCACCAATGTGTGACCTCACAAGCCCCTGTGAAGGGGGTATCACAAGCCCAAGCCATCAGGTCTCACACCCAACCCAGCAAATGAGGATCAGAGCAAAGGTAAAAATTACATCTGAAAAATGATACAAAAATAAGAAAAACAGCTTGCTCTCTGTAAAAAATATAATCTTCTATTTCTTCAAAAAAACAACAATCTCAATGACACCTGAAGGACTCCGCAATCCGCCCAGAAATCATGCAGGCAGAGAGATGGTGGCACCCTTCAGAGGCTAAGGCCCATGCTACGACTCGATTCCAGGTTTCTTATTTTAAAACCAAACTCGGATGGAGCCCTCAAGGTGCTCCTGCAGGTGCTCCAGGAGAGCCTGTTGTTCCGGCAGCACTAGGCTGAGCACCTGGGTTTCCCTGGAGTGGGGAGTGGACTGCCCAGCCTGGCGACTGCTGAGCATGGAGAGGGAATACTGTCAGGTGTCAGGGTGTGGGGTGCTCCAGGCCCCCACCTCTGGGCTCTGCTCCAGTTGCTCCGTATGGCAGAGGGCCCTCCCAGGCATCCCCGGCAGTGCCACAGGCAGGGCGTTTGCAGCCTGGGCCTCCACCTGTCACCTGGCCTGGCCCCACCCCACCCCAGCAGCCTGTGTGGTTGCAGTCTGGAGGCCAAACGCCAGTCAGACTATGGTTGATTTTCACCTGAGAGCAAACAAAGCTTAGAGCACCCCAAAAGAGCCTTCCTGATGCTTTCCTGGGCCTTTCCAAAGAGCAAAGTGTTAAAAAGATGTGCTTTTACCTACACGCCATTCTGTACCCTGGTTACCACAACAGGCCTCGTGGCCAAGACGCACAGGTGGATGGTAGGCCAGGAAGGTCCAGACACCGCAGATGGAGAGAGGGAGGTGCCCTGAACACACCTGGCCCTGACAGGCCCTATCCACCAGACTCATGGCTCCCTACATGGGTTCAGCATGGAGGTCAGGCCGTGCCCAACCCCCACTCAGCCCCTCACTGAGGACGGGCACAGCAGGAGGGTCTTGCCCGAAGACTGAGGGAGACCAGCTGGCCATTTCCTGGTGGTCGATGAGGGGCCTATATGCTACTCCTCACCATCATCTTACTAACCCCGCAGGAGGGGACCACAAACCCGCTCAGCTATGGCTTTGATGGGGGATAGCCTCTGGCCTTCAGAGAGCTGAGTCGCAGAGTCACAAGAGCCTCTTGGGGTGGCTGGTGCCAGATCTGTACCCAGGCTGGGATGGAGAGTGAGGAGCTGTACTTGGCACGGCCTGCCAGCAACTATCCTGCATGTTGTCCTTCCAACAGGCCCCAAGGATCCTCTGCCAGCCTGTGTCCACTAAGGTGCCTTGTACCCACCTGGGGGCAGCCAGGCACTGTCCTCGTGAGCCCCAGCCCCTCTGTGAAGGGGTCCGCAGAACCCGGGCCAACACAACAGAAACCACAGGTCCAGGGAAGTATTGCAAAAGATCGTGAGGATGTGCGATCTGTTCTGCTACGAACTGTTAGAAAGGAGTCCAGCGCTGCTGGGACTCAATACTAGCTGTCGCCGCCAGAGGCTGCCGCTGCTGTAATTTTCACGTACTGGCTGAAAATGGTCTCGAAGGCCTCGTCTCTGTGCACCATGGCACCGAACACTAGTGGCTGGAGGGAGGAAACACGGGGGTGAGCCCTTCGCAGCCAGGCTGGAGCTGGGACAGAGACCACCCCCAGGCCAGAACAGCAAGCATCACACAGGGCCTGGGAGAAGAGCAGACACTCCTCCCAGCCTTCAAAGAAACTGAGCAAGAGTCAGGGAACCTGGGCTGCCTCCCTCCCCGAATGCCCCAGGGAATCAGTCCCCTCTGGGCCTCATTTCCCTGTCTGTCCTGTGACTCTATGGACCCCACTAAGGCTAAGTTCTCTGGACCCCAACTTGATGTAGCTGCAGTTTCCTGTGCTGAAAGCACAGCCCAGGGATGTTCAGAGCCACGCCCCGACCCTTGGCGGCCACCTGCCTAGCACTTACTTTCTGGGTCGATGGTGTTGATACAGCAATCCCCATGCCCGAGCCTGGGAGGACAGACAGCACCTTGTACTGAAAGACAAGAGCACGGTCATCACCACGGGCCCTCTCCGAGGAAAGGGCTGGCATTCTCCTCCTGCAAACTCAGATGACAAGACCATGGGGGCATGTGACATCCTACCCACAGGAGGGAAAGGATCTACAAGTGTCACCTAACTTTGTGACTGAGAAACCCAACCTGTCAGTGGTCTGTCTCACCCACCAAGGATGGCTGGTGGTGCAAATGAAACCAGGGAGGGCATGCCCCTAAGGACATGTGGGAACTGGCCCCAAACCTCACTGCCAGGCCTGGCACCAGCAGAGGCCTCTGCTGGCACAGCCAACAGCAAGGGCAGGCCAGGAGGGTCTGGTCTGCTCTCCTGCCTTCTCCTTACCTGACTGTACACCCGTTCTCTGGACAGTGTGTGGCCACAATAGCCATGTGCTGGGTGTGCCTCCAAAGGTAATGGAGGAGGGAACCCTGCCCAGCAGAGGACAGGGCCATTCCACAGCTGGGCTATCTGCCTGGGCCCAGGGTGCTCAGAGGCAGGAGTAGGTGGGCCACAACCCCAGCTGAGTATATCTGCTGGCTCCTCCTGGGCCCCTTCTCTGTCCCAGAGAGCAAGGCCCCAGGGGCACTGCACACACCTGTGCCCATGTCCACCTGTACATCCCATGTGCTTATCCACCAGGGAAACTGGCTAAGAAGCTGTGTCAGTAGATACAGCATCTGTGTGTCCACATTTAAGCTGGCACCTGCATCAGGAGCTTGACTTTTCTTTGGGGGTGTCTCAGAGACGGAGCGTAGAGAACGCTGTGGTAGGGGGGCCTCTGGTGCTCCCTTCAAGATGCACGGCTGGGCAGGTAGACCTCACTGTATGTACCGTGAGAGACCAGGACAGGTGCTGACCCATGGGAACGTGGGGGAGCTGAGGCCAAGCAGGTGTGGGCCGAGGTGCATGGATACGCTCTGACTGAGGCTTATGGGGTTCTGCACGGAGACTTCTAGGTGAGCTGTAGCATCAGTGGCAGCAGGGAGGCCAGGCCCAGAGGCTCTCCAGGCTCCCAGGGACGAGGGCACATAGCATGGGCCAGCCAAGGAGGGCTGCTTCCTGAGTTAAGAGGGAAGCCACTCAGGGAGGCTCTGGACAGGGAGGCTGCTCTGTGAGGGCAGGAGCGGGTGTCCTGAGCAAGTAGCTGCTGGACCAGCCACAGTCAGAGAGGACAGGGGGCCCTAGCCCACTGCTGTAAATGTTCCCAGTAAAACCCTCCAGCTCTGCAGCCTCTGACCTTCGGGGATAATGGGAATGCAGTGGTCGGGGAGGGGTGCCTACCTTCTGGATGTCTGTGATGTCTGCTAGCTTGATGACTTTGTTCCTCTTTGATGACCCAGATTTGGAGCTTTCGAAGCACAAGTAACTAGAGGGGAGGAAACGCAGAGGCACGAGATAGCACCCGCCTTGAGCAGGTGTGTGTGGGGGGAGCGCCTGCTAAGTGGGGTCGGTCCTGCTGCTGCCTCCGCTGCTCTCATGGGACAGTCAGTGACCCACCAAGCACAGTACCGGGGAAAACTGAACACCCTGCTCTGTGGGACTCATTCCCACAGGACTCCTGCAGGGTTCCAGAGGCTGGCCAGGTTGGGGGGTAGAGAGGGAGCTGGGACCTTAACCGTATGGGGGATGGGATGAATGAAGGCCCCGAAAAGCTGACAACAGACTACCCCCCCACACCTGCACCTCCACCTCCTACACTAGGGCTGAGGGTGCTGAGGATTGGCCATCATGGAACCAGAGAAGCCAGAGAAAGGCCAAAGCCTTCTTCAGGCTGCTGCATCCCAAACTGACAAGGGCTTGGGGCCCGCGTTCCAGCGGATCACTGCATAGACCCTTTCCCAGGAGACTAACCCCTGCCCTCTGAACAGCTTCAGTCCCTGCATAAGCATCCCAGAGGACACACAGCACCCCACCAGCTAGAGGGAAGATGGCTCTGGCCCAAGCATTCTAGACTGAGGCAGTGCCTGGCTGGGGATACCAAGCCCACTGCGCTGGAAAGCCTGTTTCCTGGACCTGGCTGCCCACCTGGGGCCTAGGGAGGACCCTCCTTTTCCTCCTTCCACTGTGGTCATGCTCAGGCCCTGTGGCCACTCTCATGAGGCACACAGCCCCATGGTCTCACTCACTTTTCTGTCACGTACAGAACCCCGTTCCTGATGTAGTCTGTGGGCATCTTCCGGTCTCTGTTTATCAGGCAGCAGCGCCAGCCATTCTCACACACTAATGGGGAGAAAAGTGGCCTGAAATTTCCTCCCACTGGAAAGGCTCATCCTTTGATCTGAGATTGGCACCAGTCGGCATAGATGTATCAAAGACACACCTACACCCACTGGTGACCATCAAGAAAGCTGGGCTGGGGGACAGCTCATGGTAGAGCACTTGCTTAGTCTCTGAGAGGCCCTGGGTTACATCCCCAGCACCACACACGCACATACACACACATGCACACGCACACACATCCCACAGCAAGAGGGGTGTGGACCGCCATAAGTGAGGGGGGTCTAACAGCAGCTAGGAACGTGCTTTCCTCTTCCACAGGGACGGGCAGGGTTACCAGGCAAGCACACAGCTGGCAGTCAAGTGGAATGAACTAAGCTGTAGCCCACATGGTCTTAGGTACTTTTGGCAGGCCAGATCCGCAGGTGGAGGGCTATGGGGAAGTGGGCCAGCTCAGATCTCTGCAGTTCAGAGCATTTGTGGAGGTTCTTTTCTAGATGGTTAACTGGAGGCCAGAGCCTTTTTTTTTTTTGCGGCACTAGGGTTTGAACTCAGGGCTAGGCAGGTGCTCTACCACCTGAGTCACTCCACCAGTCTTTTTTTTTGTGACCTTTTTTGCAGTACTGGGCTTTGAACTCAGCGCCTACACCTTGAACCACTCTACCAGCTCTTTTTTGTGAAGGTTTTTTTTTTAAGATAGGGTCTCATGAACAATTTCCCAAGCTGGCTTTGAACTGTGATCCTCCTGATCGCTGCCTCCTGAGTAGCTAGGATTACAGACATGAGCCCGGGCGCCCGCCCAGCTTATGATCGGGTTTTTTTTTTTTTTTGAGATGGGGGTCTCACGAAGTATTTGCACAGGGCTAGCTTTGAACCGCGACCCTCCTGATCTCTGCCTCCCGAGTAGCTAAGATTATAGGCGTGAGCTACCAGCATCTGGCCTGAGACACCTTCTACTGGATGGTTTTCTGGTTTTTACACACAGGCCAAAGTGCCAAGATACGCTCGGGCTGGGGACAGGCATCAGGGTCCATATCTGGTGCACCTTGACACTCACATGGGGCTCCAACACCAGTGGGGAGAGCTAAGCCCTAACTCTCTGGGGCTTCCTGCCTTAGAACAGGCCTGTCTGAATCTCTGCTGTTAAATGTGCAGTACAGGAAATGTGGTCTCTTTACAGGGCACATGTCCTCCTCTGCTGCCTAGGATGTCCCAGAAGCCCTGGCTCCCCCTGGCACTGCCTTCTCTGGGAAGCAGTTGTGGGCATTTCTCCTGCAGGCTCTTTCAGCCTGCTGTGCCTGGGGGTGAGGTCACTTCTGCACAGCCTGAGCCCCACCCGGGCCTCCCGTCTGCCCCTGGCTCACAGACTCATCACATACACACCTGCCAGTGGACGCTCATTTTCGGTCAAGTTAAAGATTTCGTGGAAATTGCCCTTCTTGGTGCTATGGAACCGGCCAGCATCTTCATCTTTGCTCAGGCCGGCCGGCGCACTAGAGACGTAGCTCCGAGATGAGGTTGTCTGTAGCTGCCAACGGCACACAGGGTCCTGGTCAGGCTCTGGGGAGAGGCAGCTGGCCACAGCGGTGTGTACATGGCTGGGTCAGGGCTCCCTGACTGGCTAAGAGGCTACCATCCAAATATAAGGGAGCAGCTCCCATGGGCCCTTTTTGGGGCTGGACTTGCACTGTATAAGTTTCATCTGCCACCTGGGCTGGGTGAGGGACCTTCCCCCCCTGCAATGCCCACAGCCTTCCTCAACCCAGAGTACTGGTGCTAAGCCTGTGCCCCAGCACAGGAAGTTCAGGGACACAGCACTGAGTCAGTTAAAATGGACATTTCTAGAGTGGCCACTGACAGCAACTCTAGAAAATCAGCCACAGCACAGAGTCAGGTCACAGCAGGCCAAGGGGGGCTTCACACAGACAATGTACCTTGTCATGCCCTGACAGCTGGCCAGAAAGGAGACAACAGATACACATGTGACGGCCACAAAAGAAGCAAGGGGTATATGTGACAAGGTCATAAACACATGAAACTGAGCAGAGCTGAGCACAGATACACAGGAGCCTGCAGGACACCTTGGGGGGTGGCCTCCACCCCAACAAGTCCCCGCCCACATCCTAGCTCCCTTTTCTCTCTCAAGACCAATGCTAAGGGGTCTTGAGACCCAGGAAAGTTCCCGTCTCAGCCACTCTGGGGCAAGAGTGGGCCCTTGTCTTGTTCCAAGAGGCCAGGCGGCCTGCCTCTGTGTGTTTGCGACAACCACCATCTATAGGACCAGAACCATCAGCTGGCTCATGAAATGCAGGCTGCCCTATGCTGGATGGGCCTCCTGAAGCTGAGGGTAGGTTCCCAGCCAACGGAGACTTGGAACATACGGTGTGACCCACACTGACCCCAGAGCTTCACTCCACTGAAAGACACAGCAGTGGTCACTGGGACCCACTGTGAGCATTCCTTAAAGAATACTCACATAGAGACTGTTCCAATGAGACCTTCTCCAGGAAGCCCTCCTAGACCTCCCTAGGAGCTCTGCTGAGAAGGGACCCTCTCTACACATCAGATTCTGAGGATAGCACGTACGCTTTCTCATCCTCCATATTCTGGCTTGGGTCACTGTCCCCAGTACCCACAGGGCCTGAAATATGGGCCTGATACCAGCCTGTAAAAGGAGGTGGTCCCTACTCAGGTACTGCTCAGCTCAGTGCTCAAATTTCTCAGTCAAGGACAGCGGTCACTCCATGGGAAGTCACTGCCAGAGCTCTCCGTCTCAGGTCCTTGGTTCTCAACAGGCATGACCAATGCTCCACCTTGTTTGCCCTCAGCCTGGCTCAGGCGATCTTGCTCCCAGCCTAGCTCTGAGGTAGGGTCCCTGGGGGGCCTTTGGGCAGGGGATCCCAGTCCCATCCCCAGGTGCCGCATGGCCACTTTTCAGGGTGGGTTGGCACCAACGTATGAAGGGAGGGAGAGGTGGGCCATTGAAACAGCAGAGCTGGTGATGGGGAACCTCCCAGGGCTCGTTTCAAAGACCTATAAGATTGAACTATATCAGCTTCCAAATGAGCAAAGGCGAAGGGAGAGCTATGCGTCAGGGCCCAGGGGCTTGGTGGGCCCACCTTGTGCCCTCCCCAGGGAGAGCAGGCTCACCCTGCGTGACACGGTGGCACCTGCGCGCTCCTTGAGCTGGGGGTCTGTGGGGAGACTCCTCCAGATAATGTAGGGTGTGTCGTACTTGGCTCGTAGTCTTGGGCAGCGTTTGAAGATAAAATCAATGAGGAAAAACTTGATGCCGGCATAGAGCCCTGGAGGGAAAACACAATCCACTTCATCCTGCTCCGTCCCTTGGCATGACAGTTCCCATACCTGCCTTGCTGGAGCCTCTCAGAGCTCCAAGGAGGGGGTAGCTCGAGGCCAGGGCCCCTGTTCCAATCCCACAGGGCAGGACTGAAATGGGGCAGATGCCCTAGTCGGGTCAGCACAGGGTATCTGTGAGGGAACACATTCCTATATATCATTACCTCAAACCCAGAGGTGGCGCCAATCAAAATTATAAACTTATTCTCATAAAACAGAAGCGAACCACAGAAAGCCATGACTACATCCCTGAGGGTGAGCTGATGGAGGCCTGCCCTTTTCTGGGCCATTTTCTCCTCTGGCTGGGGTGGACAGGTGGCTCTCACAGCCATGGGCTCCTTCCTGGGTCAAACACTTGTGTGCTGGCCCAGGTCCCCAAAGGGAAAGGACAAAGAGACCCCCAACAGCCCACTGGGGCATTTTACTGGTATTAGCTTTACCATTTTTCCCAAAGCCACACTGCCTGCCAGCCTTGGTTTTCCTGGTGAGGAACGAAGGGAGGGGCCTGAGAGAGACTGAGGGCCAGTCAGGGCGCTGGGAGACCAAGGGCAGTTGGATGCAGCATCCAGACTGTGAGGCCCTTGGACTCCACACTCAACACCCCTGCTCAGGTCACTGCACATAGGCCTCATGCTGGCTCAAGGCTAAGGGCCCTGATGCCCTACAGTGGGAAAGGGCTCAGGTGAGAGGGAGAGTAACACATCCTCTGGGGAAGGAGAACTGAGTGGTCCAGGGGGCCCATCCACCTGGGCTGCCACAGGGCAAACACTTTGGCCTTGTGGTGGCCTCTTGGCACCTTCCAAATCTGAGCAGGGCTATCCTTGAAGGCCTGAACGCAGCCCCTTTACCCTCTGCTCTATCAGGCTCCCAGGCTGGGGAGTTCAGCACAGCTCACACCTGAGATTTCAGAGCATCCTCCCATAGTCAGAGTCCCTCAAGGCTTGACCCTCAGCCCACTCAAGCTGGCCTCCAGGGACCCTGAATGTTCCACGCCCACACCAAGCTCATCAGTCTCCATCCACATCCCCCCTCCAGCTTCCGAACGGCCTCACTGAATACCTCCTGGTTACCCCCCTCCTTCTTACCACTCGCCCTTCTCCCCTCAGGCACCCTCCTGCCCATCATCCCACCCCTCTCAGACCTGCACTTTCTCCTTGAACCTAGCATCGTCCAGGCCCTCCCAGATCTGAGAACTTCACTCTTCTGGAGACATGCTTGCCAATGGTCTGAAATCCCAGGTGGGGCTGAGTCCTGCTCATTCACACTGATGGTTAGATGGCTATATTCCACGCCTCCCACACACCAGCAGTGTCTCCTGGCACTAAACTGGGCACACTCACCAATCCAGCAGGTCAGGGAGCGCTTACAGCACCCCTGACTCCCTTCCATCCCTCAGGTAGCTCTAAGACACCAGAACCCATGGCCACTGACAGTTCCCCATCCACTCCTTCCCAGGCCATGCCCACACCTGATCAGGCCACACCCACTCCTGCCCATCCCAGCCCTCTCCTACCACAGACCACACCCTCTCCATCCACGGTCACACCCACTCCTGCCCAACTGCCGTCTGGTGCACTGACAACTGAGAATTAACATTACGTGTTAATTTCCCTGCATGTCACACGCCACATCACTATTTCTGAGAGAAAGGAGAAAGGGAAAGAGAGAGAAAGGCGGGCAGGAAGCCGACCAGCTCAACTCCTGTGCTAAAGTTGTGGCCCGCCACAGTGACAACCACACCCCTCCCCTCCTGCCAGCATCCTTCTATTTTCCTGATCACCAGCTCAGGAAGCAAGTGTGACCCTTGGCCTCAGGCCCTGTCACTAAATTCATAAGCCGCTATCCAACCAGCTTTCAGGCTTCCCACCTGTTACCCCAGAGCTGCGAGCAGGCAGGTGACTGCTGCCTGTACCCAGAGTGCCTCCCCAAGAGACAGGCTAGGAGATCCAGAGCCCAGCAGCTCCTTCCAGCTGGCAGGAAGCTGGGGACCTCAGAAACACACCATGGGCTTAATTTAAGAAACGATCATGTGTTTCTGGGTTTCATTTCTCCCAAATTTAAACACTTTGACAAAAAATAGAGGAAGGAATGTCAGCACGGATTTAAGGCTGGCCTCATTCCGGGAGGCACGCTGACACTCAGCAGGCACTCTGACCCAACCCATCTCCCTCGGTGACACTTCCACGGTTCACATGGAGGCACATCTCCTTACCTATAGCAAGTCCCACCAGGCGGTAGGGGAAGAAGCAGGAGGCCAGGAAGGCGGCCCACAGCGCGACATACAGCTTCTGCGTGATCTCAGGCTGGACCCACATGAACAAGCTGGAAGGAAGACAGGGGTCAGGCGGGGCAGCGCACACCACCCTTACTGGGGGCTGGCGACTTACTTCTTGATCTTTTCCAGGATGTCGGCCATCTTGCCAAAGAGATTCTGTGTGGAGAAGAAGCAGTGATGACCACAGATGCCCGTGCCTGTCAGGCATACAGAGACACCAGGAGGATCCCAGGCTCCAGGAGGCCAGACACAGACTGAAGGCCACCACAGCCCCATGGTCCTGCCTGGCCACTCCTCGGCCTAGGGCTCTGGTCTGAAGCAAAGGCCACTCCACTGAGGGATGGCAGACCAGGCTGAGTCCTGCCTTCCTGTGAGCAAGCACTTCAACCCTGGCCGTGAGGGCTTTCTCTCCACACAAGGTCAGAGCCTAACCAGGGGCCCACACCCCCTCCCCAGCACAGTGTGTGGAGTAGTGTCTAAGAATGGGCAGGCTGACTGCAGGTCAGCTTAAGGCACATCAGCCAGGCCTCAGGTTTTGGGGACACCAGATGAGCACAGTACAGTACCTGGGCCTTCTGGGCGACATCCAGCACCAGCTGGAACTTTTCAGATACGGTCAGGTCTTCCTTAGGAGGTTCCTTCGGTCAAAGGAAAAGAGAATTTTCCACTGAAATTTAATAGTTCAGAAAAATTACTGACACAACAGCATGAAGACTCCCAGCCCCAGAGACCTGTGTGTCACTCTGTTGTCCCCGCACAGCCAGAGGGGATGGGGACCTTGCCTGAGCAGGACACAGTTGATCTAACAGAGGAATCTCCCTTCCCACTGAGCGTCACCCAGGCCTGAGGTGGGTAGGCCAGTGGCCCCACAGTGGCAGACTGAGGCCCTGACTTCCTTTCACAGCTCAGCAACAGAGCATCAAGTCAGCTCCTATGCCCGCTCTCACTGATCGGCGGGGAAACTAAGGCCCAGGCATGCGCAGGCAGTCCGCCTGTCTGCATTCATATGCCTCCCCATCATTCAGTAAGACCCTCCAGAAGGCCTCCAGGGTACCAAGCGCTGGGCGGGCGCATGCCTGCCTCCTCTGAAACCTCCCAATCCCCGTGTGGCCACGCACACAGTAGGTTCTCAAATATCAGACGACCCACACCTACTGGTCCTGCTCCACGGGTTTGAGTCTCCCTCCAGAGCACACTTCTAGAAATATTTTCAGCTTTTTGGGCCATGTAGTCTCCATTACAGCTACTCAACAAAAGCAGCCACAGCCATGTGCGGAGTGGGCACGGCTCAATGTCAATAAAACTTTATTACCAACTACCCAGTGGGCCAGATGTGGGTTCCAGAGTCCTGGGCAGGAACATGTGTGCTTGTCTGATTTCCTGTTCAGCCCCCGAACCAAAGGGGTTGTGGGGGATGGGCAGCCCCCTTGCTGCCCCCGCCCCATCACCTCAATCCCAGGTGGGATTGGCCCGACCAGGACTACAACTGGACCAGCCAAGCTCAGCCCATCAAGGGTCAGAGTAGGTGGCCTTGCCGGTCTCAGGGCTGGGGGTGGTTGACTTCTTCCTCCATGCCTTCCCCATCGGGACATGACCCCTCACATAGTGCCCTCAGGTGAGGATGGACAGAAGGACACTTCACCCTTGGAGACTCACCACAGCTTCTGACACTTCCGGCACGATGCTCCACTGTATCCTCCAGCCCCTGGAGACAAAAGCCACCAAACCTTTAAAACAGTGTCACCTGCAAGTGGTGGAGTTGGGGACAACTTTGAACCGCCAGCCCTGAGTTTCTACTTGGGGAGGGTCCTTTTCACCTGTCAATACTGGCCACACGAGGAAAGAGTGGCTGCCAAACCCCTGCCACTGACCTCTGGGGCTGTGTTGGTCACCCACATGGTGAGGAGGGAGCATGGAGGGAAGCGAGGCCTGTCAGCATGATGGGCCAGGGCAGCCGAGCACCTGCCTGAGGCGACTCTCACCCTGGGGACTAAAGGCTGCTTCAGTATTCCAATGTTTTCTCTCCCATAAGAAACATCTTCAGATGAACCAACCGAAGCAGGCACAAGATCATAGAGGGCTGGCGCACAGAATTGCTACCTTTGGTTTTTTTTGTCAGTACTGGGGTTTTGAACTCAGGACCTCTACCACTTGAACCACACCCTTACCCCTTTTGATTTACTTTTCTTTGGATAGGGTCTTGGGTTTTTTGACAGGGCAGCCTGGACCATGACCCTCCTATTTAAGCATCCTGCATGGCTGGGATGACAGGTGTGTGCCACCATGCTTGGCTTATTGGGATGGGGGTCTCACTAACTTGTTGCCTGGGCTGGCCTCAAACTGCAATCCTCATGTTCTCTGACTCCCGAGTGGCTGGGATTACAGGCGTGAGCCACCTCACCCAGTCTCAAAGTGCAACTCTTTGAAGGTGTGATTGGAAATCTGGAATCAGGGGCTACTCTCTGAAACCCAGGTGCAAAGCTGAGCTCCACCAGCAACCACAGGGACCAGGGTCTCCCCAGGGTGCTGGCCTCACTGGAAAGGGTTGCTTGGAGAAGACACAGGGGTGGTATGAGGCAGGACAGTTTTAAAACACCTGGCATGCAGCTGTGCTGTGTGCTCACACTCACTCTGAGCTCCGGTCCCTGCCCACACTTTCTGCTCACAACTGACAACAAAAGAAGCACAGAGCCCTGGGGCATCACCAACCTGCCCTGGGGCTCAGGAAGAACTTCCTGCCAAACACGCAGAGCAACGGGAAGGGGAGAGGAGTGAGCCTATGGTGGACACCCGAGGCTATCCATGGAAAGACTCTCTGGGAACCACCCGCTGCTGGTTCCAGCAAACCAGGGTGGGGGTGGCTATCTGCCTGGGGGGTCTCCCCTCATAGCACCCACCCAAATGCTGGTGCCTGATGCATCTTGTGCCACAGCTGTGTGGGGGGCATGTCATGTCATGACAGAGTGCCAAGTGGCACACCAGGACCCAGCTCACCTACCTGGCGATGAGGTAATTGAGGGATAACCTCAGAATTGCTAGAAACAGGAACATGGGGATGGCCCAGCCATGCCACACGGCATTCATGTATACCTGCAGTGAGAGAGGGCAGGAGGGGAGGGGCACGGCTAGGCAGCCAGATAGCACACGCAGGTGAGGCCAACTACACCCTCCTCCCCGCCCAAAGCACTCAGCAGGGAGACCAGGCCCAGGGGCGCTCCAGGTTCCCAGGGACAGGGGCACGTAGCATGGGCTGGCCAGGGAGGGCTGCTTCCTGAGTTAAGAGGGAAGCCACTCAGGGAGGCTGCCCTGCATGGGCAGGAGGGGTGTCCTGAGCAAGCAGCTGTTGGACCAGCCCCAGTCAGAGAGGACAGGGGGCCCTAGGCAGGGATCTTGTCCCACCCCTGGTGGGGGTCCTGTCTCCAGACTGAGCATGGCTGATAGGGAGGCTGAGCATGGCTGAGAACCCGCAGGTAAGCTGGCCCTGGGGCCCACCTGTGCCCCCACAGAGCTGTGGGCACAAAGCAGATGTTCAGAGATGGCAGGGATAGAACGGAATCCAGTGCAGGCAGAGGTTGAAGGTGGGTCTGAACTTGTCTCCCAGCGACAAGATGCAGAGGGGCAAGGGTATCTGGACCCCAGGCAGGGCTGCTTCACAGAGCACAGAATTTGTGAAGGCAGCGAGGGAAGGGGACCCTCGGGGTCCAGGTGGAGTACACCTGGCTCCACAAGCTTCTTCTGTGAGTGTGCAAAGTGCTCATCTCCCAGGTGGGCAGTAAGTCCCTAGGACAGGTACCAAAGGGCCCGGCCCAGGGTAAGGGTGGTCCTCAGGACTCTCCCAGGCCTAGGCCATCTGTGACCTGAACAGACTGGCCACTCAGCAGGGACAGTGCTACATCTGGGGACTCTGGAAGATGCCGGGGCTGCAGCCACCCCTCTCTGGCCTGGAAGCCTTAGTTAAGTGACCTGCATCCTTCCGACACTAGAGGGCGCACTGCCCTCTCCCGCCCCCTCGGCCTGGGGCTCCTGCAGAGGACCAGGTTTGGAGATGGCCAGGTGCAGGGCCACTGGGGCCTGTGTTCCCTAGGCCTCCAGCAATGCCAGCCTGATGTCTTGCTTGCCCTCCCCAGAACTGAGACCAGACCGGGTCCTCCACACCAGCTCATGCTCATCGGGAGCCTCCTGGCCCTCAGCACCAGGCACTCCATGGACAGCCCTCAGGTCCCAAGCGAGCAGAAGCTTCACAGCTACTGTCCTCCCTCACTGAGCCAGTCTTTCCTGAGGACACTTCTGTGAGAGCCAGCTGTGCAGGGACAGCAGTGACCTCATCCTGCCCAGGGGCTCTCTCTTGGGCCAGCCTTGGGTCACACCTGCCTCTGACCTGATTCTGCAGCCACTCCACAGCCACTTTACTGACAATGAGACTGAGGCACAGCATGGCCCTGGGCCCAGGGAAGTGTGGCCGGGGGCTGCCCCACCTGGAGGCACACACCCCATCCACGCAGCCAGCAGTCACTCACTGTGAAGGCGATAGCAGAGGTGTAGACGGAGTACCAGTCAGATAAGGCAGAGAGGTTCTTCACAAAGTTAGTGACAGGCTTGGCACCACGCTCTGGGGACAGAACAGACCACAGCAGTCAGCAGGGTGCTGTCCCAGCTCTCAGCACGCAAGCAGCCTGACAGGAGACCAAATGAGCACCCCAAGACAGGACTGGCCATAGGCTCCTGCCACACCTGCCACTGGCCCAGTGGTCCTCCTGGTATTGTCTGCGGTCCCCATAGGGACCGGCCATCTGCCCTCGTACCTGGATCTACCAGTGGGCAGAAGAAAGGAAAAAGGGCAGACAGACAGGAAGAACCATTCACAATCACTGGGGCCTGGGGGTATCAGGACCCACATGCTGGGTCGTCAGAGTGGGCTCCACCTCCACTGGCCCTGAACGCAATTCCACCATGGTCCTTCTTCCCAAGGAGGACTGGGCAGCAGTCACCCTTCCAATGTCCTTCTGGAGAGAAGTCCTGCTCGGCTAATGACCACAGAGCCAGCCGTTCCCCCCACCTCCAGGCACCACGTAGAGCCGCTCAGTACTTACTCAGCCGTCTCATGTTTTCAGTTAACCTGAGAGAGGGAGAGAGATGAGGGCCCAGTGTTAACCCAGTGGCTGGCTCTGGGCAGCAGGGAGGACATCTGAGTGCTTGGGGCCCTGGGATCATCATGCATGGCGGCACAGGCTGCTCCTTCAGTTAGGAAGATGAGGGTGATTCCAGAGCAGAATCATCCCTCTGGTCTGCACACCCCCCCAGAGCTGGCCCAGCTTTCTCAGGGGCCTTCAGCAACGTCTGGCAAGGGAGCCACTGTTCACTGACTAGGCAAGTCATATGAGGAAGGCCCCCGGCAGTGGACACTGGGTCCTCCATTTGCCATTCCCAGGTGGCCTTTGTCACAAATCCCAGTAAGACTCGTGTAGATATATAAGCTGTGGCCCTGCTCCTGAGCGGGTCCTGAAGGCCCCAGAAAGACGGGGATGGGGCCTTCAGGAGCTCACAGCAGCCACGCTGATGGCGTCGTCACAACACCAGCCTGCCACCAAAGCCAGGTACTGAGCTCTGGCGCGCAGCACCCCCAGGCTTGGCAAGGGGTCCCTACCTGCGGGCACTGAGTGGCTCCTCTGTCTCCACTGTACTCTCCTCCGGCTGAAAGCGGAAGTCCTCCATGTACTCTCCAAACCTCTCATAGAACCACTTCCGCACACGGGAGGACAGCCCCTGGCTGCGTCGGTCTGTAGGAAGGGGACAGAGTGGATGAGGGGCACCACAGGGTTCACGCGGCCCCTTCTGAGGTGGATCCTTGGATGTGGGGCAGGGAGGGAGCTCACAGCAGGGGCCCAGGAAACATTTGAGGGATGGGGTTCCCCATGGAGCAGGATATGGAGGGGTCCTGCCAGAAGGGACTGTGAAGGGCTCAGCTCTCTGAAGACAGGAAGCAGAAACCAAGAAATGCAGACCAGAGCCACCCTGGCTATCAGCACCACTGCATGCAGTCTCTGTTTCTCATGCCCAGTCCCTGGCAGTCTCCGGGTCTCAGCCCACCACGGAGGTCTGTACCAACCTCTCCCTCATCTCTGGTTTGTCTGAGAAGTGGCTGCTGGGCTTACTGTGCCAGACCCTAGGGATCCTGAGGGCCAGTACTGCATGTGCTGTGTGGGGCAATGGGTGTCCTAGGAGGGAGCAGGGCCCAGCAAGTGACACAGCTGGCCAGGGTGAGCTCACAGTGATTTAGAGCATTTGCTTCACACTGCTCACCAATAGCTGTGGGGCGCCTGCAGGGGGCGCTATGGAGTGGGACCCAAACACCTGTTGTACCATAAACACATGCAGATATTATGTGTCAATTAAAAATTAAAGAAGACACAACCACGCGTGCTGCAGGCCCAGGGCAGGTAGTCAACAGTCAACACGAACCCCAGGTGCCTCAGGCTCACTGCAGAAGTCGCAGGGCTACAGGCCAACAGGGAATGAGGTTTGTGCCTTTGAGACCGCCCAGGCAGGGGAAAAGAGGTGCCCTCAGTGAGGACAGGGGGGAACAGGCTCCTGCAGACTTCACAGGTAAGTGCAGACAGACCAGCAAACTGGCCCAAGAGCCAAGAGTGGTCCCTGAAGATGAGCTGGGTGTGTTCCTGTGAGACTATTTGTGGGCACTGAAGACTCTGAAATAATATTCCTTCAGTTTTTTTTTTTTAACAATTCAAAATGTAAAAAGCAATCTAAAAATGTAAAACCAAGCAGGGAATGGAGGATGCTGATCCCAGATCCAGGGAGCATGGCCTGCTGCCTGTGTGGGCCAGGCCTCACTGGGTTCTGAAGCCCACCCACCAGGCATGAGGGCAAGGGCCCTGCCTTCTGTCCTTAACCAGAAGGTGGCTCTTCCTGCCAGGCCTCTCAGGGCCAACTCCAAGGAGATGAAAAGCTCTGAAGTGTTTCATCCCTGACTGACGGGTGAGTACCTCAGGTGTGGACCAGATGCCCACTGCTGGGCTGATGCTGACCTCCCTGTGCCTCACTTCCACTTGTCTGGGGTATGTATGTCTCCACCACCCACATCCTCTGTCTCCTGGAGGGCAACCGAGGGCCACCATGGGGACCTCCTCCCTCCACCACACTCCCCACACAGCTGCTGCGCGAAGACTGCGACAACCAGGACAGAGCCAGCCCTGACAGGAGGATAAGGCCAGGGAGTTGGGGGTCTTTCCAACTCACACTTCTTAGAACCTCACTACCACCAGGCATTGAGGAGCTCCAGGTCTTTTGTGCTGCTCCTGGCTTGGTGACAAGATGCACAGGCCAAAGGCTTTAAGTCTAAGCCTGGGCCACTGGCCATGGATCCCAAGGGGGCCACTACCCAGGGATACAGCAGCTGAACTTGCACTGGGGCCGGCCTGTTGTTGGTTTAGTCTGGTGACCCTGGGAAAGGGGGTACATACACCACCTTCCTCGCTGATAAGTGCAACGAGGCCCAGAGCTAGGGGTGCCCCAGGAGAGGCCTTCCCTCCTGAGACTTCTTATGGTGGGAGGGGCTAAAACCAATGACCTAAGGCCTGATTTCACTCTGGGCTCACTCATGTGCACAGTGAGGCCCCATGAAAGGCAGGCAATGCAGGGAGGCCACTGCAGGCCAGGGCCTTCGAGGGCTGAATGGCATCATCAGGGCAATTTTAGAAAGTGCAGTGTGGATAAGAGAAAGGTCAGGAGCCCAGTGTGGAAGGCAAGAGGACGAGAAAAGGGCTGTCCCCTACCCGGGGGGCTGGGGCACATCCTAACACAGCCCCCACTGCCTGTTCAGTCCCCTCATTGGGATGACCAGCCATAGGGCACAGGCCGCCAGCTCCATGCAGATGCCAGAGCGACTCTCAATCCCTATCAGCAGGGCCAGGCTAAAATAGATAAGGTGTTGTCCTTCTGTGAGAATTGTGGTCACAGTTTGGTGAAATGGCTTCAGTCTGCTGTGATGTCACAGTGAGAGACACTAACCTGGTTCTGATGGACAGGGTCGGGGAAGTAGATGCCTGCATGAGAACAGCCCCAGGGAACAGAACCAGTGCCCTCTGCCCACAGAGGCCTACCTGTGCCGTTGTTGGCCTGGCTCTGCCCCTTCTGTGGCTGCTGAGCCTGAACAGTTTGCTCCTCGGATCTTAGGGGGAGAAGAGAGGAGACATCAGTGAGTGTGAGTGTGGCTGAGCCAGGCCACACCCAGCTCTAGGCTCCTGGAATCCCGAAGGCTTGAAAGTTACTTAGGATGGTGTCCAGCAAGCACAGAGTTGTGTTCCCAACGGGCACCCACGCTGATTTTCAATAACCAAGTAACTAGTGTCTCATAAATGCACAATTCTTCTCTATATATTTCAACACACTGGTTTCTTTTATTGTGAAGCTCAGAATAAATACCTCGCTAACAAAAGCATATTTACCAACACCTCTATTTAGCCAGCACCACAAGCCCCCACAGCTGGGTGATGCCATCGGCTACCTGTGCAGGGTTCCAGCTGGTCCACGCCAGCCACCTGTCTGGCTTCCTCTCCCCAGCCCAGTGTGTCCTCATCACAGTTGACACTAGGCCTCAGAGATCCTGTCCTCTCCTGAAGTCTCTGTGCATGCCCTAGGAGGGCTGGACTCCAGTAGGCAGTCTGGGCCCTGTACCCCAGGCAGTGTCTTTCCTGGTTCTCTGGCCAGCTGTGCCCTCCTCTGAAACCTCAGTACCCTCAGCCTACCTCTCCCCACACGACCTGGGCTAGAGATGCATCACAGCTGCTTCTTCAGCCGAAAGCTCTCAGTGCCATGGGGACCCTGGGAGACATACTAAGGGGGTTCCTCTAAGGACACTCCAGGGGACCACCAGCTCATGTACCCCTCACCATTAGTGATAAGGGAGAGATAGCTTCTCCCCTGTCCACATCACGTGATTAGACACCAAAAGCACTATGAGCCAGACAGGCCCTTGGACTTGTGGCTTGTCACTGTGATCTGTAACTGCTAATCGTGCAGGTGCACAGGGCACAGTGGACAACCTGAACTCACACCCAGTGTAGGTGGGCAGGAGTAGCACTGGGTGAGGGTTGTAGCCTCATGGAACAGTGGATGAGGGACACTGAGTGGAAGTGGAGCCCCACGTGGGAGCTGTAGTCATGGAGGAAGGGCCTGGCCTCTCATCATCCCTCCCTGAGACCAGGGCACGGTTGCCTGAACTGGGGCCTCCCCGTTCCTGGGAGGAGGGATGAGGACATTTTCTGGGGTTCCAGAAGTAACTCCTTCAGGAAGCACTGAACAGCTGGCTTTTGTCAGAGCCCGGGCCCAGGTGTGTAAGATCCAGGTGTGCACCATGAAGATGGAAGGCCAGGTGAGTATGACCTATGTCAAGTCATCAGTGGCCCTGAGGGAGCAACCTCTGAGAAGATGGTGGAGGCTTCCTCAAGTGCTTCACCTCTAATAACACAGGGTTGTGGGCTGGGTGACGATTCCTAGCACGTGACCTGCTACAGCAAAGCAGTACTTAGACAGCAAGGTGCTGCCTGCTGCCTTCACCAGGCAGGTGTCCAGGGAGCAGGAAATTTACCTCCTTCACATGACACCAGGCACAAAATATACCAAGTGCCCGTCACCAAGCATGGGACACAGAAAACAGGCTGATGTATAAGAGGACTGCAGAAACACTTTTTGCAAATTAAAAGAATATCCTTACAACATTCCAACAAGCACCCCCATAGCCTCGAAGCCACCATGACCTCCAAGTCATCTAAGTACCACGTGACCTTGTTTAATGGAAAAGGGACTACCGAGTTTTCAAAAGCAACCTTCTCTGATGTTCATGGAATACATTCGGAGTGGAATGTGACTAAGTTTCTTTTGGAAAATCTGTTTCCTGACCCACAATGACCTGAGGCAGGGATTAAGCTGGAGCCAGGAGTGGCCCTGGGTTGGGTGGGGCACTAGATGGTCACCAGGCTCCATTTCCTTCCCGCACAGGACTCACTGAGGCAGGTGTAAAAGGAGGGCAGCACAGAGGTTGAAGTGGTTGAGTGCTCTCTGGTTGCCCCAACGTTCCTGTCTCTGGGGCTGTTTGGGATGGGGACTGAGAAGCTGAGGGAGGAGATAAAACCCAAGGAAGACTCAGGGCGGGACTACACCATAGAGTAGCTGGAAGAAAAGGGTGCCCTGTTCAGGTGGCCTTGATCTCATAGCTGGGGGAAGCCTTTGTCTACTAACAAGCATGCACAGAGCCAGGTGATTTTCCTGGCATTTCCTCAAAAACCAAAGCAGGGTTTTGACTGAACATGTTTAATCACCGTGTTTAGATCCTGCAGCTCACCTGCAGCTTCAGGGTATGACATGAGCGGATGAGTGTACACCATGTTACATGTGTGCACACATACATATATGCAGTGTATGAGTGTGTGCATGTGTGTGTGAAGGGGTTCCTCCATCTCACGCCTGCACAACATGACCAGGAAAGAGGAGGTTGTCCCGCCCATCCCCCATCAGGCTTCTAGAAGAATCCTAAATCCTGCCCCCATGGAAAGCAAGGGAGAGGCCCCAGTGCTCCTGGGACCCTCAGTTTCCACCTCATGAGTCATGATTTGCATGTCCCCTCCCCCCAGGTGGTCAGTGAATCTTCAGCACTGACCCGGGGCTAAGACACTCACTCCCAAGGGGTGCTGGTGAAAGCCAAGGAGTGGATCCCCAGTGCCACTAGGGGGACCTCAGCCTCTAGGTGAGGGGAGAGGGGAACATTGTCCTGGGGGGTGACGCCCCTAGGCTTGGGGGTAAGAATGTACCCCACATGGGCCACACGCCTGGGGACCCCCACCTATTCCTGAATCTCCTGGCATAAGCCAGGTTTCTCTCTGCTGTGCCTCCATGTGCAGCCAAATGTAACAGAATCCTGGAATTTCTATAGAGTCACTAAAGGTCAACAGCAGGGGAAATGCTAGCCACAGCTGTGCACCATGTCTGATCTGGGAAGGCTGCTGACCTCCTATCCAGTGCAGAAGGGCAAGGCAGGTCTCTCCTCCCTAAACACGCCCCACGGTGGGTTCCATCCTGGAGAACTCCAAACAGGCCACACTGATCTGGGCTAGAGGGATGGACAACCCCACTGACTGTCAGAAAGCACAAAGGGAGCCCCAGGAATGCAGGGAGGATAGGGAGCGGGGGCAACGGGTAGAACTTCTTCCCTAGAACTGACTTCTCAGAGCATCTACTGTCAGGGAGATCCAAAAGAAAGTGAGTCAGGTCTTCAGACACACAGGAGCCCATCATCCCAGGGCGTCATCCCATGCCCACTGCCACCAGCAGGCTTATACCGAGAGCAAAATCCTAAAAGTGAAGACACCTGGTCCCTAAGGAGAAGCCAAGGTCTGGCCGGGATGTCCCAGAGGTGTGTGCCCCAAACTGCTAAGAGCTATTCACTCAGGAGAAGCAAGGCTGTGAACAAACGGGAGGCCTGGGCCCCCAGCCTCACCTGCCAGGTGCCAATTTGGATGCTGTATAGAACATAGAACCCCATGGCTTATTGGGGCAGGGAGTGTACTAGCTCTGCAAAGTGCCATATTATTTTGGAATGACCTGCTTCCTGCTAGCCAGATCAGAGGCAGAGACTCTGAGTTGGTTCTTGCCTGAGGATGCTATAAAAGGACATGCCTGGCCTCTCTGACCGCCTATTTTGGGATGTGAGCTCCCTCCCTCACTTGCTCCCAACTCAATGCCAGCACCCACAAGGTCTGCACCAGAGTGGAACCCAAGACTGGGGTCTCAGAGGCAGTGCCTCAGCGCAGCTTCTCCATCCTCTGATGGAGGGGACACTCTACCAGCCTGTGGGGGCAGATGGAACAACATATGCATAAGCTGCCCTCAGCAAGCCAACACCAGGGCCATGCCCTTGAACGTCCACCAGCATCAGGCATTTTGTTGTAGTAACAGAAAATGGACTAATGCAGGTGTTACCTGGCTTTCAGCACCTCCTGCATCTTTTGCTCCAGCTCTATCCGCCGCTGCCGCTCCCGGTCCAGCTCCTGCCGCAGCATCTCCGAGTTGGTTTCTTCTCGGAGTTTCCGGAGCTCCTCCTCTGTGAAGGACAGGGTAGCTAAGTGAGCAGCTCTCATGCACACTGCCTGCTACAATTTGGAGACAGCAAGGCAAGGCTGCCCAATGAGAAACAGCAGCCAGGCTCCTGCTCCATGAGAACGAGTGGCTGAACTTTCTCAAGTCTGTGGGCTGCTGAGATGGAGCGGTGCACCCCAGACCCTGTAGGCAGTCATCAGGGTGGCAGCAACTCTCTGGTCCCTCCTCTGGGGTTCATACCACAGCAAGGAACTGTTAAACCAGGGTTCTTCTCTCATGGTGGAAGCAAACTGGGGACTAAGGAAGGGCGAGGATTTCTTTACCCTGCTCAGTAAGGCAAAAAAGTCACTTTACCAAGCCACGACAACACCTGCAGGAGACTTCGGGGCAGGGACGTGGGTGGCACTCAGCCCTAGACCGTCACCCACATCGACTGACTCCACGCCTCTGTGTGAGGAGAGGTTCCGGCAGGCATGGAAGACAGTACAGGCCCTGGGCTGGAAGGTAGGTGAGGGATCACTTGAGTGGCCTCAGTGCAGAAGAGCCTGAGAATACGGAGGCCAGGGATGGGGCTGGATGTGTTCCTGGAAAGGCCCCCACTGAAGACGAGCTCTGAGTCAAGCCCTGGTGAAAGGACAGAGGCTGGGGTAGCTAGGGGAAGGATGCAGAGCAGCGTGGCTCAGGGATCAGGAGCCCTAAGAGGGTGGAGGAGGCCGGGAGCCCTGGAGGGCAGCAGCCTCTGGAGCTGCAGAAGTCAAGACAGGAGACCAAAGTCACTTCAGAAATCACTTCCTTTGTTTCCAAGTCAGGTCTGTGTGGGGACTCATTCATGCCACTGTCCCCACAACAACACAGAGCTCGACCCCTCCAGTCTGTCCCTTCGGCACAAGAAGAGCAGCCCTCAGCACCACTCCTGGCATCTCTCCTCTTCCTGTGCAGACTTGGGATTATTCATTTTAACTCAGTTGAGACTGGATTTGGGGTGGGACACCTGCCACCCTCAAGTGGATCGCTGTGTGTACTCAGTCCACTGTGGATCCACAGGAAGCTTGCAGCTCTGCCACGACTGAACCTCAGTGCTAGCCCCAGCAGATCCCCAAGCCCTAGCAGGAAGGAGAGAGAGCAGAGGCATCTCTAGGAGCAGGATGCAATGAGGCTTGGCAACGAGGGGCTGGTGGGGGGAGGGAAGCCTGTGGGGTGGGATGGGGTCAGACGAAGGGGTGGCTGGCTAGGCCACCTGAGGTCCCCTCCTGCCCAGAAGTAACGCCTATGCTTTGGGACAGGTCCAGTTCCCACACGGGCCATTCCATTGAGCCTGCTGGCACGGCCTCCACCAGCTCTGCCGGTCCATGCACTTGTGAACATGTGGAAGCCAAGAGAATGTTCAGGAAAGTGCCAAGCAAGTCCCGCCACCAGCTACCCAACTTCAGCTGTGAAACATCCAGGATGGTGCCTGTCATGTAGCTGCTGGGATGGATGGGTAGATGGATGGATGGTTGGGGATGGATGGATGGATGGTGGATGGATGGATGGTGGGTGGATGGATGGATTGTTGGGTGGATGTGTGGATGAGTGAGTGAGCACACCCCAGTTCTTCTGCTTCCTTTCTCCTTGGCCAGAAGTCAGGGAGGGAAAGTGAGAAGCTATGTAACCCCCAGAGCAGGGGGCTCCGCACAGTTCTGCCATCCTCTAATGGAGAGGGAGTCTGTACTGGACTTTGATGGCAGGTAGAAGGGCACTTCCATAGACACTCTCAGACACTCTCAGACAGCCGCTCTTAGAAGCAAATGCCTGAGTCAAACTCCCAGAACTGCTTAATAACAGGCCCCCAAACCCTGGGGACAGGCCCAAAGCCTGTCAGGCTGGCTTCTCCCCAAGTAGGCCAGGTCCCAGGTCCAGGGAAGCATTCCACCTGGGCCCTTGAAAGCCTGCAGCCCGATGGAGGGAGGTGCCCATTGGAGACTGGTGCCTACAGTTCAGTGACCACGTCCACTTTTGCTGGGCTGCCTGGAGAATAGGCTTGGGTCAGTCCCGCCCACAGCGCCTCCACAGCACCACAGCACATGGCCCTGAGGAAGGCACAAAGGAGCTCTTGAGGACTAACTGACAGATGTAAAGTTACAAGAATGACAACTCTAAGGGACAGTCCTCACTTCTCGCCTTACACTAGAGGCTTAGCAACCTCTCGACACCTGGCTGGCTCTCCAGATGCCTGGGTTCTGAGACCTTTCAGGTCTGCAGGCTGTGCTGTGGCACCAACTCATGGCTGAGAGTGATGGCGGTATTAGAAATGGAGACAGAACGAATGGGGTGCCAGGATGAATTGCATATGGCTTCTTTCTCGTCCACACAGAACTGAAACAGCGATTTGCCCAGCTGCCCACGGCAGTGGGGAAACGAACACAGTCAGGAGGCAAAAGCACTCAACCAAGCCCACTGTCAGTGGGAAAAGGCCCAGATGTAGACTAAGGGCCCCACACCCCCTGAGTCACTCAAACAGTCCCAGCCCTGGGGTGGTGTTGGCCTGACACCGATTAGCCACTAGCTAGAGAGAACTGCGAGGACTGTATCCTTATGGTCCTTGTTGACAGTGCATCTGACCTCCATGAAACCAGGGTGGGCACCAAGCAGGACTCCTTCAAGCTGGCCACACCCAGGTGGGCTGGCCATGCTCCCTCCTGTGCCTCAGTGCTTCCATTTCTCAGGGAGAAGCTCAGACAGGCTGGGGCCATGGGATGCACCCAGTGCAGGAGCCAGCATCTGAGACCCCAGCCCAAGTGACCTGGTGGGACCCCTAGGCAAGTCCTGACCTGAATAATTGTGTAAGGAATACGACACTCATCTCAGCAGGCCTGTGCACCCCATTCTTTACAACTTGGGGCCCAGGCACCTGTCGAGAATGGGTCAGACATGTGGTTTAACTGACCGGAGAGGTAGAGATGTCCACGGGTCTGCTGTGGCCATGCACTGGCCTCCCTGTCCCTGTGGTTTCATTCCTGCAGCACGGAGAACACCCTGACCCAGGAGGCACCAGACCCCTGCTGAGTGCCCAGTCCTACTGCCACATGGTTCGAATCTCCATCCACCATGACAGGCCTGCAAATGGGCACCAAGTGGTTCCATGTGCCAGTCAGACTTTACACACCTGTGATAAAGAAGTGACTGAAACAAGGCCTGCCCTCTGGAAGAAGAGACAGACAATGAACAAGTCCCAGGATGCAGAGCAGGTACCACAGGGGACCATGCTCAGGGTGTCCAGCAGGAGAGACAGCCCACGTGAGTCCCAGAAACGAACGTGTCCAGGGAGCACCAGGCAGTTTCACTCTCTCACCCAGTGCCTTAGCTGGTGGGATCCACCTGGAACTCGGCCCTTCACGTCCCTGCACACTGAGACTGCCTTCCGAGACACAGATCTCCCAGAGCCACCCACTCACAACAACAATGGCCAACACAGCTTTACAGGAAGTAACTTCTTGAGGTCCCAAAAGTCCCTGGATCACAGGTGGCCACCCCATGAGTCACTGCCTTCCCCAGGCTCAGTGCATGGAGCTACAGGTGACAAGGGCTCACAGAGGGGGGCCCTCAGGACATGCCAGCCCAATCAGCAGTCTCGTGGCCTCACCAGCCGTTTCCAGGGCCACAGAAAACACAAGGGAAGCAGCTCCTGGACAGAACACATGACATTCTGACTCAAGAGAGACAAGGAAGACAGGGGTCCCTATCACACCATGAGGGAGTGAGAATGTCCCATGTAGAGTTTGGGCTTCATGGGACAACACGGCAATCATTTCCTAGCACTGTCCTGTGGAAGCTGGGATGGTGTCTACACTCAGCCCAACCTGGTCCCCTCACAGCCTTGGGCAGGTGGCACAGCAAATGCCATGATGCCTCTCGGGCCAAGGTCTCAGCATGCATGAGTGGACCAAGCCTGGCTTACTGAACAGTGGTTTGTAGGAGCAGGCTAAGAGTGATCTAAAGACTGTCTCTACCCAGAAGTCTGCCCTGCTTGTGGCCTGTGGTGGTGCAGGTCCAGGTGATCAGTTAGCCTAGGTTTCAATTGCACATGGTTAAAAGGTATCGGACCAGGCTGGGGGAGGTGGCACAAGCACCTAAGTAGCAAGCATGAGGCCCTGAGTTCAAATACCAGTACGGGAAAAAAAAGGCACTGGATCAATTAATTCATCTAGGTCTGTGTGTGAGGCCAGATGACAAGACCCCCAGTGAGGGGCAGCCATCCCACACTGGTCATCAGCTAGGCTGGAATCTTCTTTTTGGGTAGGATGTGGAGGTATTCAGGGTGACCCAGGGATTTCCTTTCCTGTCCTGGCCACCTCACCAGACCTGGGAACACAGAGCCAAGTCTGAGACACCAAATTTCAGGTCAAGGTCAATAGAACAGCCCCAGACACAGGCCCACCTCCAGGAAAACTGTACCAAACAACCAGAAACATTGTCTAAGCAAAACATGGCATGGTGGTCTGTGGCAGAGGTCAAAGGTTAGCAAACCTTCTGAAAATATTAGATTGCTGAGTGCTGGAGTCTATCGGCTTAGAGTATGCAGAGGTCCCCACCTGCTGGGATCAGCTCTTCCCCGCTGTGTCATCTCTGCATCCTTCAGCACCATCCAGTACCACCAGGGGGCTGGCGGACACCAGCCCGCAAAAGGGGCTGCTGGCTCTAGTTGGCCATGGCTTTCTACAGAGGACCCCATTGGTCCTGGGAGAAGTAGGCTAAGGACTGAGGACCGCCGACCTGCCAACCTTGTGCCTCAAGGCACAGACACATTTTAGGATGGATCTAAGAGTAGTGCTGTTACATGTGGTCACCTGGGGACCTTCAGCACCTCATGAGTCATCGTATGCACAGGGCGTTGTCCGATCATACTCCTTTAAAGATGGCTCTGACCACACAGGGCAAGGCCGCCATCCTCCAGATGCTGAGTGGTGGTTTCTGGAGACCACACAGGTCCTCAGAGAAGCATGCAGCAGCATGGCTTCCTGGTGA